AGTCTCAAGATTTGAAAGTCTTCTCCCAGAAAAAAAAAGAACTTCTGTTGAGAGAAAAATAAGTACACAAAGCCCTCCCAAATAAAAGAGTTACTGGCCACTGGTAGGTACATTCTTTCAACCACCTTTCAAGAATTCCAAAACAAAAAGTTCTGTTTTAATGAAGATACAATTTCCTTTAGCAGTTTGTTGGAAGATAGATTTTAATGGTAAGCAGAGAATCCTTTATTTAATTGCCACTTAATTTTGCAATTTTCAGACTTTCATTATCAGTTTCATAAATTGTTTGTTTTTTTAAATATGCGTCCAATTATCTTTGTAAAATCTCTCCTTAAAGGCCAATTCAAGTCCAGTTTTGGCTGGGGATGTAATTCAGTGGTAAAGTGCTTGCCTAGCATGCATGAGGACCTATTTAATTCCCAGCACTGGCAGGAGGGCCACAGTTTTCTGGGAAAACTAATTATGTAAGATGGCGCTTTTATTCTTCAAATATCAATTCACCAGGCACGCGCACACACACACACACACACACACACACACACAAAAAAAAAAACGTACTCTGCCAACAAAATTCGTCTTCTTCCTGGCTTATGTTCTAAATGGTAGATTTATTACATGTTTTGCACATAATAACTCATTTCTTTGGAAATATCTTTCATAATTTCTTTCACTCAGAATTAGATCACTTAGGATAGAGGTAGATTTCATACAGTCTTAACAATGAAAGTTTGTTCAGAATATTTTTAAAGTTCTTCTATAACCATATTGGCAAAATATTTCTTCTTTTCTATAGTGCCTCTTCAGTTTTCTTATTTTTGTTTTTCAAATTAGTATATTAACAGCTACATTGAGGGCTTAAATTTTAGACACAAAGTAGATGGATTAATTTAATTAAATTTCCCTTAAAAATAGGGAAATTTTCAAATTGAGAATTTCAGGGGATTGATGGCTGAGTTAGGTGTATTAGCCAAGTGCTACCAAGGTTGGAAATACATCTCAGGCTGCACCATGCAAACTAACAAAATCAACAAAACAAGCTAATGCCCATGTGGACTAATTTTCAAAGTTCCATTCAGTGTGAGGATTAATGTACATTTTGCCACTTACTTAGATATCACACTTGAAAACCATGTTTCCAGTTAATTCCAAAGTTGTTCAGAGCTCTTATAAGACTGGTATCTTAAAAGTGGACTGATCAGCCTTCTTGCCACTCTGTCTTTAATCATCTTTCCAGTTTCATTTCGTGAGACAAATTTACTTTTATAATTCTTCATCCTCTTTGTCTTTTACTCAGGATTCTCAGTGAAGCCTGCAGCTCGTTCCTAGCACTCCCAGGCTCCTACCAGCCACTGACTCTGTGTTGCTGAGTTGTGTCACCGGCTACCTGCTGACATTAGGAGAGTCCTGACATATGCATAGAAGCTCTTGAGGAGGTCAAGTGTACTGGGCTTCTTTGCTCCTTAAATGCTTTTATAAATCCCTGTGAGCCTGGGTTACCAGAAGGATTAACAATGTCCACTAGGGAGCACCACTCCTCTGGTGATTACCACCAAATGGCCTATCTACTACAGTTTTCCCTGACCACTCCTAATGGCTCAAACCATTAATCACCCCTTAATTACTGCACCCTTAATAATGGAGAAGGAAAACTATTGTTGACACATAGACACAAAGGAACAGATAACCCTTAGGTGAAATTCATTCCATGATTTATCATTTTTCCCTTGGGATGGATGTGTTTTACAGTGACTGGGTCTTTACTGCCCCCTCCTGGATTATGGCATGGCAGCACTGGGCAGTCCCAGCAGAGCCCAAAGAGTAGTGGAATATATGAAAGACTAATTGCTGCAACTCCAGAGCTCAGTTCTTTGATAACTTTCCCTAAATAATTATTGTCTGTTCAAGCAAAACTGGCTCCTCCTTCATCTCTCTACACTAGGAAAAGTGCTTATTTCTCATTGGCCTATTTCCTCCCAAGACCCAACAGAACAAGTGGGACCTGACCACCTTCCTTAAGGCAAGTATAATTAAAAATAGATTCTTCAGGCTGTAGATGTGCAAAAATAAATTCTTCACACATTTACTAATATAAAATAAGTTTTTATCCACAAATATATGTAATATAATCATATTACATATATGTAAATAAATATTCATATGCAACATATATGAATAATATTATTTGAACCTGGCACTTGCCCTTAGGGGTAGGTTTTCAGGGATAGGAAAAACATGCACAGAGCAAAATCTCCAAAACATAAGCAAAAATCTACTTTGCTTTTTTCAAAGATCTTTCCTATCTTTTATTCATAGAAGAAGGAATTCAAATAACCAAAAAATACATAAAAAGAAAAAAATATTTTTAACCTTAATAGTATTCAAGAAAATGTAAAAAGCAAGATCATGAATTTTCACCCATCAAACAGGCCAAAATGAAAATTATAAATAAGAGCTAATGTAAGAAAATAGATTTTCTTAGATACCATTGGCAAGAATATAAATTGGTACAGCCTTTTAAGGGGGAAATTTGGCAGAATCAATCAAAATCTAAAATGAATCATACCTTCTGCAGCTTTAAAAAGTCCATCTCTGGTGAGCCCTGTGATGATTTCTCCAGCGTCCATTCTGTGCCCCTACTGCTCTACAAAAGTCATGTGGTTCCATGGATAGGCTGCCAGCCAATCAGCATAATCCCTTTTCCTTTCACTCCCCTTAATTCAGGCAAGGGTACTTAACAGGAGCCCCTCAGTGCATACCATCCTCACTGAACCCCCACCCCAACCCATACAGAGATTTGCTTCAGGCTCCAATCTATGAGTGAAGTTTTGTTTGATGAGTGAGGAAACTCTTCATTATCCTTTAGAATCAGTGAGGAAGCGTGGAGCTCCAGTAATCTAAGCTCCTAATGTCTATATTATCTAAATAAATGTTTCGTTTTTAAAATTAATTCCAGATCCAAGTAATCATGACTATATATTTATGCCAAGAAACTCTCACAGCTTTTTTATTTGTCAAATGACACCAAATTCTTTAAACCTTCAAAGTCAATTATCTTGCCTATAAAATCTGAACAATATTCCTACTTTCATAGGTATTAGTACTATTATCACATAGAAATCACTGTACTAGATTATGTGGAATAGAAATAGGTAAATAATTTGTTGTTCCTAATCTTTAGAAACATTGAAAACTTAGTGAGGGAGAGACATTAGGTATTGCTCTTGCTACCACCCTAGTCTAAGGACAAGAAAACATGCTGAATTGAGATGTCACTTTAATTTCCCTGATTCTTTCTTATATTAATTCATGTTACCTGACAAAACATTTTCCAAAATTTTACTGTTGACACCTTCCTTCCTTGCTCCTACAGGAAATGATCCTGCAGGCTAAAGTAAAGAATGAAATAATTGAATAAGGTTATATAGTGGAGAAAATTAATTTTCACTGAAAACAAAATGATATTTTCTTGATAGTTTTGTTTTTGTTTTTGTTTCCAGGAATTGAACCCAGGGGCACTTAAAGCCATATCCCCGGCTCTTTGTATTTTTTGAGACAGAATCTCGCTAAGTTGCTTAAGGCATTGCTAAATTGCTAAGGCTTGTTTTGAACTTTCAATCCTCCTATTGCAGCCTCCTGAGCAGAGTTTTTATTTCAAAGAAAATTTCTCTGCCAGTGCAGTGGTGCACATCTGTAATCTCAGTGACTCAGGAGGCTGAGGCAGGAGGATTGCAAGTTCAAAGCCAGTAAAATAAAAAAAATAAAAAGGGCTTGGGATGTGGCTCAGTGGTTAAGCACCCCTGGGTTAAATCTCTGGTACAAAAAAAAAAAAAAAAAGAGGGAAAAGAAAATTTTTCAGTGTATAATATATTCACTGTCGGCCATCCACAAATATCAATAAACACAAAGCTCTAAATCACAAGTTATACACATGTGATGAGGTCAATATTTGTGGCAAAGTACCTCTCAGAAGTGCATGTTAAGAAGCAGATAAGCTGTCTGTTAATTTCATTTTCAAGTTATTTCATGTTTTGATGTCATCAAGAGAAAAAAAATAGGTCCCTTTAGAAAGCAATATAATAAGATAAGTTTTATAAAAATAGGAGAGTGTTCCTAATATAAACATACTTAACACAAAACAATAAAGAAAAATTCTTTTAGTCCAGTTCACCAAGACTAGCCTACAAGGTTAGAAGCGGTCCTTTGGTGGTTCTCTAATTCCCTGCCAGTGGTTTGCTTATACACAGGATGATTAAAAAACAAGTCAACCACATTTTTCAGTCTAGTCTGACTCACAGCTGAGTATACACATAGCCTTATATTATAGCACAACTAAGATAAGTGAACCAAAAAATAAGAAAAAAAAAACATCTTCCATATCCCCATTTATTTTTATTTTTTTATGGATACATAAAAGGTGCTTTATTCACATGCTTAGTAGGTAAGAATGAACTAAATTTATCCTATGTATCAGCATAAACAGATCTCAAAAATAATGTAGAATTTAAAAGCAAGTTCCAAAATAATACATGTAGTATGATATCACTTATATAATACTTTTTTTTAAGTTAAAATTCTTAATGAGAAAGAAGGATTTGTTTCTGTCAAGGTGGTCAAAACTGTTGGCAAGGATGGATTTTTATTCTTTATATTTATTTCTGGGCTCATTACCATATCCCCATTTAAACAGGAAGTCAGGCATCCCAAACAATCAGGGAATTTTTGATCAGAAGAACTGAGTTCTTAACCTGGGTCTGTCATAACTTTTGCCAGGTAGTCTTTATTTATTATTTTATCACTGTGCTACTTATATCACCAGCTATACAGTTAATTAACTGGTTGCCCCTATATTCAAATTTTCAACAACAAAAAAACAAATTAACATTATTTCAAACTTATTTATTAAATACCATACAGTGGGGTCTGTGTGTGTGTGTGTGTGTGTGTGTGTGTGTGTGTATAATTTTTAGTATCTTAATTAAATAAATATAAATTAAAACTACTTATGGAGCTTAGATAATATTTATTTATTTTAAAACATACACATACACAGCAAACCCATTGTCCCCCACTAGTACATATCCATAGTTCATATTAGTGTGTGACTAAATCATATCCTTGTAAAGGGAGAGTAAATAACCACAAATTGAAAACAAAGATTATTTTGGTTTAGTATCTTCAGCCCTAGTTTGAAAAATCTTAGTTCTGCCAAGGTTCTAATCATATATGATCCTCAAGTTTCAACAAAGACTTGAGTATAAATGATTCTCAGTTTTTTCAAAGATATTTAAATAGGCAAAAGATACCTAAGGAGAGTACAGAATTAGAAGGTAAATGACTTAGACCCTCAGAAATTGAGCGAATATTTTCACACTTCTCTTTACATAAACAAAGCATTGAAATAAGCTGTTGTTGAGGATTGACTTTAAGTATTGTCTTCTTTCTAGATTATAGAGTCTGTTGGCAATATTTTTCAAAGTAAAAATAAAATAATATATTAATATGAAGATCATTAATGCTGATATTCTATTTTTTTTCAGCATTTTAGCCATACTAATCTAGCCAAATACCAGGTAAAAGGTTAAAAATAAAGCTTTTAAATCAAAACCAAATATCAATTTAATCATCACCTATAGACCTATATGTTGGAATAATTTATTTTGCTTCCTCTTGAATGTCCTAGTCTTTTGAGGCCTAAGTATCTAAGGCCTCAAAAGTTAAGTTCCTTGGTACTCCAAGAAAATAAAGAAAAATTTAGTTAAATTCTTGGATTAATTCTAATCAAAAGCTTTTAGGGAAAAACAACACACTTTTAATTGGCTAAGACAAAAATTCTACTCAAATCCTGGTCTCCTTAACAAATGTTCTTTAAAAATGATAAATGCAGAGCATGACTGGAATCCTAGAAACAAGAATCTGGAGCTCAATTGGTCTAACCCTCTCACCTAAAATGTTGCAGACCTGTGCAAAATGTGTGGAATGTGGGTAAATGATGATGTACCTTGGAGAAAAACTTTGGGAAGGCCTAAGCATTTGAGGCACAGAAACTTCTATGGGTTCTAATATCACCCTCAAAATATCAGTGGACAAGAGTGGAGTCCGTAATAACAGACATTCCCTCCCTACAGTCTCTTCAGTAATGATTCAATAGCAATTGGCCTAGACAAAAGTGATCAGCCTGATTAATAAGTAACCCTGCTTCCCATCACCTATTTTGTATGTGTAACTCTTTCTAGTGAGAAGTGCAGTATTCAACTTTAAGGTTCAGTACTCTATTCTCCTTTTCCTCTTGTTCCAATCATGTTCCTTCACACAGGAACATTAGCACCAAAATTTTACAACACAGAGGACTACCAATGCCACAGCTGTACTGAGTCATTAGAAATAAAAAGTTTCTCTGTTAGATTTATATTAACGTAGTTCTTAGATCAGCAGAAAGGCCAGATTCCCACAATACACTGAATATTAACAACAATCACAGAAACCAATGATATATATATCACTCCTGGACAGCAGTTACATATCACCTTAATGCCTAGAAACAAGATTTTCAAGTGTTTTTATAGGTAAAGTAAACAAAACATTTTCTTTTACTGATCCTAGAATTGTTTTCATTTTCTTCAACTGTAAACATTTATACAGATCACACAAGGTTAAATGCATGAATAACATGACCTTTTATAATGTGTCTCTCGCCTTCATTTTTAATCACTTTTAATCTTAGTAATTTAAATACACAATCTACTAATAGCAAATTCATGTAACAAGAACCATATTACTATTCTTTCATTGTCTATATCTTGAAATAGCAAGCATCAACAGACTGAAAAAGTAACAGGATAACAGTTGGGAAGGTGAACTTGTTCAATCTTCCTTTGAAACATTTGAAGATGTCTTTGTCTTTCCTTCCTCTGCAAAGCAACTTTCTTAGAAAATGCAGGAAGTTCAGAAGGAAACAATGAATACCATGAATCTTTCCTCTTAGGATATTAGCATTCTAGTTGCAAGGAGATGTCATCTCAAGTGCTATAGCAGCATCTAAAAGCACAGAATATTCCACCAAATATTTTATATTAAATATTTCTAGAAATTAATTTGTCTCACTTTCTCAAAATGTATACATTTATAACATTGGTGGGTACTATGTAATCTAAGAAAACCTAGATTATATGTATTAAAAAGAAGATTTTAAAACATTCTTTAGAATAACTATCAATCTAAACTATCTTGTATAGCACATTATCTTCTTTTATGCAAACAATGACTGATTTTGACAAAAGAGATGTAAGGTTTGTAGAGCCTGAAGTTTATATAGTTTACATGAATTAGTTGTTCACAGTTCACATGAACCAACTCAAATAAATGCATTGCTGTTGTAGGGACAGACGAGGCAAGGCACCAAAGTTAGCAGGAAACAGTTTTATTTGGCTGCAGCCAGGTTCAGAGGGGACATCTTTTACTATAAGCAATCAATCCCCTGAACCCCGAGTTCAGGTAGTTTCAGAGTTTTATAACCAGCAAGTAAGGGGAGGAACTCAGAAGTTCAGGCTGCAGAAGTTCACATAAAAGCAGCTTTCTCTTTCACTGTTCTGGGCAAGTTAACCCTTCAAGGACAAAACCTGAGAAGGGGAGAACTTCTTCTCCCCTCTCTTTCCTCCCTTTGCCAGCTTTTACCATGGAGCCCAATTGGTAACTTCTCTTATATTAGAAATGTAGACATCTCTGTGAAGCTCCAGCTCAAGGCCAGAGGCCTTGTTTACACATTTCTACAAACTACTATACTGGATACATTTGTGAAAAACTAGTAAGGGGGTGTCTAGCATCTGGAATGCTGATTTCTTCCAGGCTAGCAGCCAAGTAAAATAGGGCAACATGAAAATAGGAAATTTATCTACATTGAACTCTTTCGTAGAGACTCATTTGCTGACAGTTTCAAAATCAGCCATAATGAAGATTTCTGCAGAAGCCCAGTTAAATTTTTTTTGTGTGTGGAGAATGGGGGTGCCACTACATTGCAAAGCCCTTTCCCTGGGTCTAGGAAGGGCTTGTGCAAATGAAGAATTAAAATTTAAGCTTTTTTCACTTCACAGGAAAGTGATCTTTGATATCACAGATATTCAAAATGCTTTGTGGAGATTAACAGATGAATTCCAATAATAAAATTTAAGGGAACCTAGCATTTTATTACAATATCGTATTTTACAGAGTTCATGAGATATTAAACATTGAATGACTTGCTTAAAGTCATCTAGCAAATTATCATTCCAACAGATGTAAATTTTTTTTAGTACAAAAACACTTAAAAGTAATCATTTGGTATACTGCTGATCCCTCTTTATTGGGAAAGATAATACCAAGTCATTGTTTAATTTATCTTGCTTGACAAGCCCACAGAACAAAATACTGAAAAGTAAGATAAGTATATAACCTTCTTCAGTACTTGTCACCCTGAATTCACATTATTATAGCTAATAAAATTCAGATTAGTTCAAGATCAAGAGATATAAGATCTATTAAAAAAATTTTACTTTATAGACAAATGCTTTTGATTTTCTAAGTGGCACAACTTCCCTGGCAGGAGTTCTTATGAAATCAATAACCAGAGAATGTTTTGGCTGAAAATTTTCTTCAGAAAACCACAAAATATTTCTCATTAAAGGTGACACAGGGCTGGCTCAGTGGTAGAGCGCTTGCCTAGCATGTGTGAAGTACTAGGTTCGATCCCCAGTACCACAGGTTTTTTTTTTTTTTTTTTAAAGTGACACAGCTTTAAGTATGAAAAATCAGACTTACCCCCTTCTGAACTAAAATAATTCTCAATGCTGGTGTTCCATCCGAGGCAAGTCGGCCTCTGAATCATCTGACAGGGGAGATCCTGATATCTATAAAATAATCAATCTTTATAGTTTCTCAGTAATTGTAAATGTCTCACTCCTCCAAAATTCCAATTCTGGCTGTTTAAATATCAGATGCTTAGAATTAACTATTCATAGCTCAAGTTGCTTGCATGGGAAAGAATGAAGTTAGAGGATATTTTGGCCTTTAGTTTATACATACATTAAAAGATACTTCTAATCTGTCATTGTGTGCTATTTTTTACAAAACTTATTATAAAACAAAAATAAAAACCATTTGAAATCATCATATTAAGACTTCAAAGCAACCATTATAACTGTGTTATATGAAGTAAAGGAAAATATACTTGAAATGAATGAAGGGTCAGGAATTCTTAGCACAGAAATAAAAGCTATTAAAAATAATCAAGTGGTTATTTTAGGATTAAAATATATACTATCTGAAATTTTTAAAATCTAACTGAATGGACTTAATAGTGGGACAGAGTTAACGAAGTAAAATGTCACAGAACACGAAGAGAGGTAAAAGAAACTATACAATCTGTAGAAAGAAAAAAGATTAGGGAAAAGTTAACAGAGTCTCAGGAACCTGTGAGAAAACATCAAAAGGTCTAACCTATGTTTTGTCATTAGACTCTCAGAAGGAAAGGAGCAGAAACATACATATTCTAAGGAACTAAAAGAAATTCTAGAAGTGGAAGATTATATGGAACAGAAAACATTTAAATTGGGTAAAAGGATGGTCTTAGGAAAAAAAAATGTCAAGTAGACAATTCATTTTGATTCCAGAGTTTTACTCTTTCAAAATGAGGTTTTAACTTTAGGGTTAATGCAGTAAAATACTACAAACTCCCACAAAGCCTATTGTTATACAAAGAACATACCTAGGCTATACACACACACACACACACATACACACACACACACATTTTTAACCTAAAAAAATGATTACTACCAATTAAGAAGTTTATATATAAATATTTATGCAATAAAATACTAACAGCAATGACATATAAAATGAGCTTTAGCAAGCAAAATCTTATAGATCAACAGAAAACATGCCCAATTCTTAAGACCAAATTTTCCTTTAAATATAGTAAATATGTAAGAGACCCAAGTTTCTAATTTACAAAGAATATTTCAATACCTGATGTAAAGCAACACTGGGAGTATGCAGGTCAATAGCAGCCAGAGAAGGAATCCGAGATTCTGAAAGAATTTTGTTCTCTTTCTTTATTAGTCTAGAATTTCGAGCTAGATAAAAACAACCATAAACACAATGAAAAAATACACATTTTTTTAGTTTTTCATATTCTACATCTGTCCCTCAATATGTATTTATTACACATAAATGAGTATATGTGTTTAATTACTTAAAATATGTAAGGTTACCATAAATTATTTCTAATATTCTGTTAGTTTATTTACTACACATTTTACAATGTACACAAAAGGGCTGAAAAAATTAAAAGCATCATAAACATACCTATTCCTTCCAAGGCTCTTAGTTCAGGGAGATGATTATAGTTCAGTTCAGGCAAACGGACGTCTGTCTTAGAATATTCCCTTCTTTTCTTATTTGCCTGAAGGAGGCTTTTTTCACTAGAGACCTAATTTGGTCAGAATTATTAACAGAAATAAATTAGCTTCAGGGTAAACTAGACTTTCTTTCTTTTATAACGACTATATTTGTATCCTAATGTTTATAGATTTAAAGAGCCAGAATAAAAAACTTTAAGGATATTAATAACATAGGAAACCATTTCACTCAATTATTCTAAACCTCCTCTTTACCAAATTTATTAAAATTGTTAACAAGTGGATAACCCGATTGTTCTACATTTCTCCTTTTCCCCGTGCCAACCTTTGGTATAGTCCTGCCAAGAGTAAAAGGATAGAAGATGAAAATCAATACTCTGGTCTTTCAGGCTACTGAGGTCAGACCTAATAACACTTGGGCTTTTCAGCAAATAGTTGCCATTACATGTATTATAATAGAGCTCCCTTGAAATTAAAAGCTCTAAATTATTTTCATTTCCTGATTTTAAAAAAGTTTTTTTCCATCTTAACTTCCTCATGATAAAAATGGAAACTGAAAAACTAGTCCCTAGATTAAGTGGGTGCCAAGGACACTGGAATTTTGACATAATTCTCTAGCAAGCACAGCATAGCTAAATCCACATAGGAGTATTTCCTGCCTTTTATCTTACTATACCCACTTTTTCTCTCATAAAAGTTGTTTGCATCCCTGAGCACTCTCAAGTTGGAGATTGAGACAGAAAAGTCTCCTCTAACTTCCTCAGGAATGGCTTTGAATAAATCTGTTTTCTTCCACCAATTTGTGATTCCTGAATTTTGGTTGAGTGGTGAGCAGAACCTTCAATTCCAGTAGCATAATCACATCTCCTCAAAGATTGATTCTTTCTTTCTCAATATAATTTTGTTACTTGTTTTCTGTATTTGGTCTTGTCTTGCTCCTTAGGGTTAGCATGATACTATCTTCCCAGGAAATATAGTTTATTTAGTAAAAAAAACTGTAACCTCAGTTATTTTCCTTGTCTTTTTTATTTTTATTACTTCATAGTTGATAAAGTCAGAAAACATCCAAAGTGAGGAATCGTAGTGTCACTTCAATTCTTCAATTTTATAAATTTGATATTTTTATAAACTTTTTCATTTAAGAATTGCAAAAACTACATTCTTTTCAACATCTTCAAAATAAATGGCACACAGAAATTATGTGACTTGACAAAAAACATATATGACAAAATCACATATATGTGTGTATTTATATATACATATATATGTTGAAATACACAACAAACATACACATAATGACATTAAGCCATGAAGATTCCTTGAGTACAAAAAATAAAATCAAAAATTGAGTTCAAACTACCAGATTTACACATTCAAAGCGTGACCAAAAAAACCACATAATAATAAATGTTTGTATATTTATTCACATCCCAGTATTAGGGCATAAAGAGTGGGGAAAGTACAGATCTTTAATGCAGAAGCTGAAGAAAGTCTAGATTTAGTTCTGTCTGCATTAATTTTCATTAAGGAAAGACTCCAGTGGGTCTTTTCTCCACCATTTTTTTTTTCACATCAGATGGGTAATGTGCTGATGTCATAACAAGGTTTAGAGGGAGGCACATCTCACACAAGAGCAGGACCCCCCAGTCATCATGCTTACGAACCGAAGGATCTTTTCTCCACCAATCTTCACCCCCTTTCTTGATTATCTTTTCCAAAGAATAATAAATAAAAATAGGATATAAAATTATTAGCCAGCATTGAATATGCAATGCCTGAAAGCAGTTGATATCAATTCTTAAAAAACAGTATTGAGCTAGCTACTTTTAAAAAGGCTGGCTGATTGAAATAATCTTCCAGAACAGACTAGGATTAAAAAATAAAAGAAATCAGTAGGGTATTATCCAAAAATAAAATGTCATGAGCACAGAAGTAATAAACTAAGAATAATTAAAAGAAAAACAGCAATGTCCAAATCATGAGAGAAATGAAAAGACTGTATTTTTCTTCTCTGAGGATAATGAGTAGAGAAATTAGTGGAAAAAATACTGTTTGGGAAATATATCCATACCTCTCTTTCTATTTAAAAAGAATTTACTTATTCTCCACATTTCTTAAGTCCCACCCCTCTCTTTTCCTGGGGTTCTAATCCAAGGCCTTATGCATGCTAAGTACAAACTCTACTTCTGAGCTATACTCCTAGCCCCTCTTAAGCAGCCTTACTGAGCTAAACATTATTCTCAGTAATGGAGTATAGAAGTGAAGAAAACATCACAAATTAATGACATGGGCTGGGGATGTGGCTCAAGCGGTAGCGCGCTCGCCTGGTATGCGTGCGGCCCGGGTTCGATCTTCAGCACCACATACAAACAAAGATGTTGTATCCACCGAAAACTAAGAAATAAATATTAAAAAATTCTCTATCTCTTTAAAAAAAATTACTGACATGGAAGCTTAAACATTGTATTTTTGAGAAGACAGACTATACATAAAAATGAGCATATAGAGGATACAGATATAGGTAATGAAAAAAAAACTAAGGAAGGAGAAGAGATAGAGGGTAATGAGAAAAAATGAGTCACAATATTAAAGAAGAACTCACGATAAGGTTTTATGTGTACTAAAGAGGAGAAAAAGTACACATAGTGGGTTATCTGGAGGAACAGAGCTCTAAATGTAAGTGTAAAAGCCCAGAAGAACGCATGGCCATATTTCAGGAATAACAAGGAAATCAGCATGATCAGAACAGATTGATAAAAAGAAAGAAAACAGAGGTAGGATTAAAAGGGCAGGGGGCTTTCATCATGCAGGAACTTGATGGCCCCTTAAGGACTTTGGCATTTACTCAGAAAAGAGAAGTCAATGAAGGATTTTGAACAGAAGAATGATGATGATTTGACATAGTTTATAAAAGCAGCATTCTAGAGGTTATGTTGAGAATAATAATGCTCCTTCCTGTGCTATCTCTGAACCTTAGTCATGCTTTGAATACTAAAATCTGATAGCATGTTTTTAGTTTGCTGATTTTCTAGACCAAAAGTTCCATGGAGAGAGACTGACTTAATTCCGGTGTCTTATATAAAATAGATGATCAAGAAATATTTATTAAATGAATAAAAAAATATTTTCACCAGAAATCTAGTGCGGGTAAGATAATGAGATAATTTCTCTTTTCATTTATTCTAAAAAAAAAAAAAGAACTGACTGATTGGCAAGCATTAAAAAAATTTACTATGCTTCCATAAACAAGCAAATGGCATTATAACAACATCTTTCAGACTTATTTAAATTTTAGAATTCTACATCATGACTATGACAGGACGATTTTTGCATAATTAATGTTTCACTTTATGACTCTAAATACAATTCTCAGTTCTTAACTGTCATACTAAATATTATACAAGTCTAGAACTGACTAGTGCTTGCTCTTCTTTGACTGGGAACAGTTTACTTACTGATGTCACATTAATATTATAAATTCCTGATGGAGAATGTTTATTTGGTTTAACAAATGGAATACAATACTTCTTAGTTTTCTCATCCACTCTGCAAAAAAAAATTAAAATCAATATTTATTATTTTCAAGCACAAAACCAAATGACACAGCACCAAGTGTTACGCAGTTTAATCAGAATTTGATGCCTATCTTCAAATATATATTACATATAAATCTAGTGAAGCATTCTATAATTTATCACTTGACTCATGCCTTCCTCACAACCTCAACTCCTACCTTTTAGCAAAATTTACTTTACTTTTAGCAAAATTCCCAAAAGGTGCTTCCTTTTATCACCAAGTGCCAACAGACAAACTATGCAGCAGCAGACCACCAAAACAAATCTCTTATTACAATAACATTCTTTCATATTATAGTCTAAATAGTTGTAAATTCTCTTCACCTTAAATCATACAATTCTACTTCCTTAGGACTCAGGTGAATTTTGGGTACAAATCCTAATAATTTTCATCATACAAGTCAAAAAGTTTTGCAACAACAACCTAACAAGTACAAATAGCATCTATAATTCTACGAGTAAAACAATGTGAATGAATCAATAAACATTATCATTTGCAAATAGATCTCTTAGCAATTTTTTTAGTCTTACTTTCCTAATTCATACCTGTAACTCTGTACACCTGAGATAGTTCCCATTCCAGAATTAACACCAGGAGCAACTGCTGAAAGATTGTGTGTAAGTGGGGGGATTGCTGTGCTTGAATTCCTTGTGTGGTTCATGCTGACATTGCTGCAGTCTCTGAGACTTGTGGAAGGCACTGTTTTGATGTGGCTTATCCTATTTTCATGGAGATACCTGGCATTTGAACCTCTATTGCCTTTTTCAACTTTCTCTCCATCGATTTTTGATCCTTTTATTTTAAATACCTTAGAATTCTTAACTTTGGGATCAGCATTGGTATCCTAAGCATGAATAAAAATATTAAGGTTAGTGATCTGAAAAGAAAGAAAATTACCTCTTCTTATGTAGTACTTACTTGTTGCCTCAAGCAGAATTTTACAGGTATCACCTTTTTGTGACCATTATCTTTAATCTACCTATATAATTAAAAATGAAACCCACATTTTTACTCACATATTTATTGTGAAAATACAAAAAGAACTAAAATGTAACACTAATTGATAATATATTTGGATATGTGTGCATATGGTATCTGTATATGGTGTATATGAATTTCAGTGGGGGAAAAAAAGTGAAAGAGGAATTAAGAAAGCTACTTTTCTCACCTCTATGCTCCCTGACTCTGAGGGCAGTGAATTCAAATTACCTTATTAAGAACAGATCCTGAGTACCTTAGCCAGAAAAGCAAATTTAAATATTCAAATTTCAATTTTATAATGTTCCAATTTATATAAAATTCTAAAACAATATTTTTTCTCACATTATTTAAGGAGAAAGAGTGGTGTGTGTGTTTGCTCCCTATATGTATGTATGTTTGCTCTCCCTGTGTGGGTGGACACATACAAGCATGTGTCTAGGTGTTCTTAGATGAGCGTAGGGAACTGAATTTCTCGGAAGAAGCCACATCTATATTAAAGATCCTGCAGACTATCTGAATTTGAATGACTACAACACTATAATTATGGAGAGATGGAATGTAGGTCATGAGCCAAAATTATCTTGAGCTGTCTTTTGAGCCATTTACTTTCAACCTCTGTATCTGACCTAACATCCTCATGACTCTTAGGTAAAACTCTTGGAATGTTTCACTAGGCTTAGCAGACCTCTAAACTCCAAGAACCCCAGAGTTAAAAATGCTATAATATCTGAAACCTATAAAAGAGATTTCTCCTTCTGCTGTAGCTCATCTACCTAGACTCCACCAATAATTTTATGTTAACAACTTTAATTTCCTGACAAGCATTATTATAGTTTCCTGGTATACACTGGCATTAAAAACATACTAAGTTTGTTTTAAACTGGCAATATCTGTAGGGAAGATACATTTTTAACAAATAGGCTAACAGTTAAGAACTTGTTCACCACTCAGAAAACTTCTAAAAGCTTCATTTCCTCCCACAAAATTAAATTTAAAACATAGACATTTACCTGTACCACCAGCATTTTTCTTTCTTCACCTAAGGAATCATCTTTTTCCTTTTCCTTCTTTCTGTTTTGGGATTTTTTAGATAAAGAAATATTCCTGGCATCTTTCTGTATTTTTAATTGTAGTTCCTGAGAAAACCTACACAGAAAAATACATTCTTAAATAAAATGAAATTGTATGAAACAGAGAAACCTAGAAAAACAATTGATTTTCAAAATAATTTTCAATCAAGGGTGAGACTAGAATATTTTATTTAAGATAAGAAAAATGATGGCCTAGATCAACAGTTAAGAAAGGGTAGTCTATAGATCTGTAGGGATCCCTGAGTATCATTCAGGAGGTTCATAAAGTCCAAGATATTCTGTTTTGTTTTATTTATTTATTTATTTATTTAGATACTGGGATTGAACCCAGGGGGCACTCAGCCACTGAGCCACATTCCCAGCCTTTTTATTCTTTATTTTGAGACCCTATAAGTTGCTTAGGGCCTTGCTAAATTGCTTAGGCTGGCTTTGAACTTGTGATCCTCCTGCCTCAGCCTCCTGAGTTGCTGGGATTACAGGTGAGCATCACCATGCCTAATACAAGCTATTCTTATCTTAATATGAAGATATTGTCTGTATGCTATAAAAACAATTCGGGGAAAACCTGCCAGCACCTTGCCAAGAATTAGAACACTGGCACCAAAGTATACCAGCAGTCATTTTCTTTATTGTCATGCATTTTCAGTTAAAAAAAAAAGCAGTAAAACAGTTTTACTTAAGAATGACTCTGATAAGGCAGTGAAAAGTATTAATTTTTTAAAAGCTAAACCCTCTTTTCATATTCTATGTGACAAAATGGTAATATGCATAAAGCATCTATTATGAACCAAAGTGCAATGATCATTTTAAGAAAAGCACTTGTATATTGTTTGAGATACATACTACAAACTTTTTCATAGAACAATATTTTTACTTGAAAGAAAGAATGACAGAAAACTGATGGTTAGTTAAATTTGGGGGAGGTGGCAGACATATTCTTTTAGAAAATAAAAAAATGGTGAATAATATATTTCAATAATAAAACTCAAGCTTTCATGTTAAAATTAGAATTCTGTTGAACTTTTGATCTTAAAAGCTTCCCAATGATTCAAAACAGTTTTATGATGAGATGGAATATGACATTTTTTATATTGTACAATGAAATTTATCAATATTTTCCAAATGATTAATGCATGGTGTTATAAAAGCAAGGATGATTAAAAAGACCCACTTAAAAAAATAAGAAAGATAAATAGATTTTAATGCAACAGAAGAAAAACAAGTTCATTGATACAGTTTCAGATTTCAGAGTGACCAACCTTTAAGAAACTACCACTGCCAAGTTTGAGTATATCAGAATTTGGTATAAAATTTAAAAACACCCACAACTATCCAAAAAGGCTGTTAAAATTTTCTTCCATTTTTCCAATCACATGTTTGTGTAAGGCCAGAGTTTCTTCATATATTTCAACCAAAAAATATAGCACAATTAATTGAATGTAAAAGCAAGCAAACGTAAGAATCTGGCTATCTTCTACTAAGCTAAATATTAAAAAGATTTGCAAAAATATAAGGTGATATAACTGCCACTCATCTGATTATTATTTTTTTTTTTTTTGTTCTGTCAGCTGCACTGATGCCAGCACCTGGAGCAGCACAGTAGCTCTAGAGACTATGCCAGTAGCTATGACACCCACAGATTTGACATTACGATCTCCAGCACATCAGCAGTGTCAGCAATATCATAGCACCTGGTGTGACTATGAGTTTAGCAGCAACAGGAGATGGCACCTTTGTAACTACATCAGCACAGAATATAATGGCATCACACAGCTGGTAGCAACATAGGAATCAGTGACCTGAATGGCAGATGTCATCACAGGGAAAATGGGGGCGAGGGGCATGAAATAATGCTTCTTGAAAACTAGAAGCACCAGTTTAGGAGACTATCCCTAAGAACTGCATTATTACTAAGGGTGAACAACTCCATTATTACTAAGGTGAACTCGGGTAGGATGGTAGATTCTTCAGTCCTGCAAAAACAGGTGACAACAAAAATAAGGAAAATGCTGTCTGTGACTATGCAGAAGCCTTACTTAAATCCTAGATTATTAAGGCCTGGAAAACATGGGTTAGTACTATACCTCTCCGCAAATCTATCCATTTGAAAGAAATCATGGTGTAGCAGCTCAGCACAGAAAGGCCTTTTGTCTGGGTCAACATGTAAGCATTTCTAAAAAATTAAGAACACAAATAATTCTTATCCAAGGAAAACTTCCTACATTTAAATTTCCAAACACACCAAAAAAAAAAAGAAAAAAGAAAAATCCTACTCATAGCCAATGAAATTTTTAACATCTCTAACTAAGGATGAAGAAAAAAGCACAAATCCATAAAATGATCATCAATGGTTGCTAATATCACTCACATACACACACACCATACACACACACATACACACACAGCACCATATATTCAGTAGCATTAGATGAAAATATACAAAACCTAGGATGTAGTCTTGTCAAAAAAAAAATCTGATTCTGATCAAGCTATAGATTTACTATAGTTTATAAGAAATAAAGGACACAGGAACATGCTGAACCATATCATGGGGAAAGTTAATGGGACACAAAACCTAGTTGCTTCAACAAATTGCAGGATTTAAACAAAAAAGAAAGAATAAAAGAAGCTTATAAATTGTCTTAAAAGACTTATCAACCAATCTATTGCAATCTATAACCTTCATTTGGATTCTAATTTAAACTATAAAAAATTATATAACAGTTAAAACTTTGGACAATGATTACATATTTTGTGATACTAAGGAATTATTGTGAATTTTTAAAAATTAGATCTACTGAAATTGGAGGGGGAAAAGACCTACTCTGTACTTCTTATTGTACTAGGTGCTTTACATAAATCATTTTATTTTAATGCAAGTTTCACTGTGATACATTGAAACCCCTCAATGTCAATAAAAATAAAAGAGTCTTAGTAAGTAGCTTTAAGTAAATAAGTTCTACAAATAATTATAAGTCTAATATATAACTGAAATAATATAATGTTGGGTATTTGTTTCAAAATACTCCAAGGAGGGAAAAAACATTGAAGTTGAGTGTGGATGGGTTAGCCATGATTATAAAAAGGTTGGTAATTGCTGAAACTAGATGAAAAGAATGTCTGGGTTTATTCTATGACTATTTTTTCTTTTTTATTTTTAAAATTTTCTATAATAAAACCTTTTAAAATTATATGATTCTATTTAAGGGATTTATGTTGGACAGTATTTTAACTTTTATTCTCTTTTAAATCTCTTTACAGACAGGTGATGAAGCTGGTCTCAATGACAAATGCTTAATCTATTAGATTAGGTAAAAAGTACAAACGTACTATTCTAAAAACTTAGTTATAAGCTTACCTAACTTTTTTTTTAATGAGTTAAAGGAAGCAAAAAGACATCCTGGGGAAATGTTCTAGGATCCTGGCACTTGGAGATAATTATTTTAACAATATTCTGAACGAGTCTAAGTAATGAGAACTATTTGAGTTAATAATTGTATATGGTCAACTTTTAGAAATAATTTGATACAGTGAAAATCTCCCTAATCTCTTCATCAATTAGATACAAGCAACAATAGTGGTTAGTTTCAGTAAATCCAGAATCTAAACAGATTCTATGCCCTACACACTTCATTTTTTTCCTAATTTTCTAACTTTATTTTTCTTTTCTTTTTTTTTTTTTTTTTTTAAGAGAGAGTGAGAGGAGAGAGGAGAGAGAGAGAGAGAATTTCCAACATTTATTTTTTAGTTCTCGGCGGACACAACATCTTTGTTGGTATGTGGTGCTGAGGATCGAACCCAGGCCGCACGCATGCCAGGCGAGCGCGCTACCACTTGAGCCACATCCCCAGCCCCTATTTTTATTTTCTTATTCTACTTTTCTTCTAATTTCTACTTAAAATATAAAATTTTTATGTTTTTTGATGAGAATGTTAACATTGCTATGAGAATGTCTGAAAACTTAAAAAAAATAACATGCTATATAACACTAATTGTTTTCTTAGTGAGTTTAAAACAGGTGACATTTTCAGGTTTTTATCTGAAGTTTCTACACTAATACACACCAAAGTATTTAAATTCTTCCTTAATGTACAAAAACAAAAGATCATGAGCAAATTGTTGACCAAAAGATCAACTAGACAAAAGAGAGAAGCAACTCTACGTAATACATACATTTCCTGTCAGAAAGTGAAAAGAAAAAATATGACTACCTTTGCTAAATCTATCACAACTTCAGAGAGCTTAGGATAGCGTCTTTCAAGAGGTTCTGTTTCCTTGATTTCAGGCAATCTTACTCCAGCAAACACAGGATTTTTATAAAACAATTCCTGATGTCTTGGAATTAAATTACCTAGAAGTGAAAACAGCACACATCTCTGTCATTATACATGAAATGGTGAAGGGACAACTTATGTGGAGGAGAGGAAATCGTGGAACACAGCTTCAGGAGTTTAGAACTCTCTCAGCATGCAAAAACAACCAAAAACAGAGCTGTTACTGTAATAACACATGGCAGTCTTTATAGTGGCTTTGACATAGTCAACTCAAGGAAGTAACATCACTATCTCAACTCATCATTTAGAAAAATTCACAAGCTGCTATAAATAGAACTGAAGTGTGAGAACACAGGTAAAGAATATTGTATAGCTTCCCAGATATAAGTACCAGCATTTTATTTCTAACAACAGAACATAATGGGTTGACCAAAACAACTAAAATATAGTCATGTAGACAGAACCTAATCTAAATAAATCAATTCCTCCCTTTATGAATTTAATTTTTAGTAAACTGATTTTACACCTGAATCTAAGGTCATATTTGAGCATTTCACTTTTCTCACAACTTTAATATGTAAACATATATATTTATGTTTCCATAAGAAATTATTTATTGCTTATTAAATTTCTCATCTGGAAACGTAAAATCAAATAGTTACCAAGTGTTTCCCATTATTTTCATCTTCCAAGCTCTATCTCTGAACATTTATTGATACTTCAACAAATGTAAGACTCTGATTGTCTAGCTCTGAAACTTTATCCAAAAAGTCAAAGATGGGACTGAGGTTATGGCTCAGCAGTAGAACACTCGCCTCGCACATATGAGACACTGGGTTCAATCCTCAGCATTACATAAAAATAAATAAGTGAAATAAAGATATTGTGTCTAACTACAACTAAAAAATAAATATTTTTAAAAGGTCAAAGATTAAGCAAGATTACCTTCAAAGTCTCTGTGTCTCTCACTTTGAGAATGAGGATATGACTGTATTTCACCAAATGTTTACTGACCAGGGATGATAATTATTTGTATTCTCTCTACATGTGATTAACTGAATGTACAAGTGCAGAAAATGGACAACCTCTGCTCTTTTTCTTCTCTGTTGACAGGAGGGGGAGGTGAGCCTGATTAAGAACATGTGTCAGATAAACCAAAACCATACTGGGTCAGGGAGACTCACACACACACCTGCATATATGATATTTGTTTTCCTATTTATGCCCTACCTTCACTTAGAATAGATACCCTCTTTAAAAGATACAAACAACTTTAAAAACCAATACAAACACACAGGAAAAAAAAAAGCTTCTAGAATTTAAAAATGCAAATGCGTAATCTTACCTAAACACATCATAATATGATATAGCTGATCAATATCTGAATCTCCAGGAAATAGTGGTTCTCCCATGAACATTTCAGTTACTAGACAACCAATGGCCCACACATCAACAGCCCTGAAAGAAATGCAATGTGGTGTAAAATTTGGCATCCTAATATGTTTATTATATCTGAATCTATTCTGCATATTAATACTTTATATTCTGGACATTGAGAATAATAGTAATAAGCCTTAAACTATCCATAAAAAGACATTCATCTAAAGTTAAGACCTCTCTCAATTTTAATAAGTGAGATTTCCAGAAGCTTTGATCATGTGGCCTAAGAGAGAAAAAGCCTCTGAAAAGTGAAAACACTATTACCTGTACTTTGTTCTAATAAGGCTCTCAGGCTTCCATTCAGTCTATTCATTATTTGTTTACATGCAACTCTAAAAAGGTCATTTCATTCTTTGTTTCACAGAAAAAAGAAAAACACAGCAGAAAAAGATGATTGCTAAAGACAAATGCAATAACAGCAGGTCCTGAAGGCTAACGGGGAGACATTTTTTTTTAATCTTAAAAATTAGTCATAAATACTTAAATAATATGTTAGTTTCATTTAACATAGGAACAACTATCTTGATGTTTCTTAAGGTCATTGCTGAATTAGAAAATGTTATAAAAAATGCAGCATAGCTATAAAATGTGAACTTAGAGCAATTAAGAAAATATTAAGGACATTTAATAAACTCTAAAAACTGAGAATAGTAGAAAATATTTTAGAAAGATTTCTATCAAAGCAGTAAAACTTATAATTCTCCCTTCTTTGAAGATTTAAAGACACTTGTGTTTTAAGAACATTTTGTTCAAATTATTTTTACTCCCACCCTTGTCTCATTGAGACACTACCTTGTCTCTTTCCAACAGTGTCAGACTTACCCAATTAATATTGGTCTCTTTTTTTTATTTATTTTATTTTTTAAATTTTTTTATTGTTGGTCGTTCAAAACATTACATAGTTCTTAATATATCATATTTCACAGTTTGATTCAAGTGGGTTATGAACTCCCATTTTTACCCCATATACAGATAATATTGGTCTCTTTACAAGTGATAAATATACATATTTCTGACCTATTACCAAAAGCAGACCATTTATTTACAACTTAATTTCCCCACCTTTAAAATGAATAAACCCACTCCAATTTCACAGGAATTTTGCTTGTTTGCAGTGCTGGGGGTTGAACCCAGGGCTTAGGGCATGCTGCAGAAGGGCTCTTCCACTGAGCCACACCCCAACCCTCATGAGAATTTTTAAAGGAAATGTATCAAATGATTACAAATCATTTTATTAACTTCCCTCAACTCAAGCCTTCCTTTCAGTGTTAGAAGAATCATTTATTATATTGTAAAGATACTTTGTTTTATCAAGAAAAAAAAAAGTTAAAATCGCTCCCTCTCAGTACTGATGTCTTACTTGCCGTACTTGACATCACCAACCAAGAGTTCTGGAGCTCTGTACCAGCGAGTTGCCACATAATCAGTATAAACCTCTCCTGGAGCAGCCAAAGTCCGTGCAAATCCAAAGTCACATAACTTGACGACACCAGACTGGGAGACTAAAATATTCTCTGGCTTTATATCTCTGTGTATGATCTAAAACAAAAAGAAGAGGACAAAATATGGTAAACAAAAATTAATTATTTAGGAGAGCACCTACCATAAGTGGGAAACTGATTTTTTATCCCTATAAAGAATAGAAAATAATGCATACAAATTGTTACTGACTTTTAAGAAACTGAGACCTAGCTGGGCAAGAAAAAACATTCATGCTTGAAGTTTTATTTAAATACTCAAACACAAAAAAATACATACATTATTAATCAATAAACCAACTAGCAAATAACTAATCTCAAAACTAAAAAAATTCTCATTGAAGACTAGGGGTGGTAAGAAAAATTTTTATGAAAGGGGCAGGATCTATAGTAGGCCTTTAATACTGAGTATGATCTGGATAAATGTAGAAAAAAAAGAGCAATCCAAGTGAATGTAACAAGGAAAGCAATAAATAATAAGCCTTAAATTACCATAAAAGGACATTCCTCTAAAGTTAAGAGCTTTAACTCTCAGTTTAATAAGTGAGATTTTAATAAGTGAAATACAGAAACTGTAGTAAAATGTTTTGTTTCCCGCCCCCCCCCCCACTAAGCACAGGCCAGCCTGGGAAGTTTGAGTTTGTGTCAATGTCCTGGGGACCCATGGAAGTGAGGTGATCAATATATTGTTTAAAGGTGATGCCTGTGATAAACAAGCTAAATCAGAGAGAACCACTAGAAGGAGAGAGAAGAGAAAAGGGACAAATACGAGGTGATAAAGGCCTAAATGAGGCTGGTGCTCAGAAGAATACAAAGGAGAATATATAATTTAGAAATACCTTAAAATCAAGAATCAATAGAATTTAGGAGTAATCTCAGATGTTTTATTTAAATCTGAGAATCTGCAATGGTAGTTCCATTACCGAAAGTAGAAATATCTATAAATTTTAATGGAATGATTAGCTTACTTTTAGCCACATGAGCTTTGGATGGAATGCTGAACACCCAAGTAGAGACATTCATTTGACAATTAGAAATAGAAAGAGGGTAAAACAAGATCAATGATTAAGATTTCCTGGGAGGAAAAACAGGAAAGTAAGATAGAGAATATTAATTCAACAGCTAAGCAAAACAAAGTATTAGGCTTAATCCTTTTAATGTAAGTAAACTATATTTTGGAATTTTAAAAATGTGTGTGTGTGTGTGTGTGTGTTTGTTTGTTTGTTTGTTTTAGACCCCTTCAAAAGATCAGGATCCAAAATGGCAATATGTCATTGTTAAACATTTTGCATAAGCTAGAAACTTTTATTACCCTAGGTATCAGTGTAAGGACACAGGACCAGTTCCAAATCAACTATACTACAGCACAAAAAGCTGAACTAGGAGTTGAGAGACTTCGGCACTAGTCTCAGGTTTTCATTAAAGCCATAGACAACTCAATCTTTCTGAGTTCCCCTCCTCATACTCCAAATGAGAGGGCCAAAGTGCATGATTGTTATGTTCCCACCCAATTCTCATAGTCTCTGACTTATGGTAACAACAATAGAACCCAAGCATAACCAAGATAATAGAAGTAGAATTTTTACTAAAAGCTATCATTGCAACCTGGGATGGCCAGGCTCTGATATGGGTCCTTAATACCATGTATGATGTAAATAAATTAATAAATTTCAGCAAAAACTTTGTTTAGGGGTCTATAAACACTTCATAATGCCTTATGCTATATGGGTCCAACTTAACATCAAGGTTGATAGCAATCTTAAATTTGTTGTTAAATACATTTACTCAACCTGTCTTACAAAGTATTAAAATGATATTTTTAATTTTTTAAATTCAACTGTTCACATATATGGATGTAGACTCATATGAATACCATATTTAAGAATAAATGTCTTTAAGGACTGGGGCTGTAGCTCAGTGGCAGAGTGCTTGCCTAGCATGTGTAAGGCACTAGGCTCTATCCTCAGAATCACATAAAAATAAACAAATAAAATAAAGGCATTCTGTCCATCTACAAATACAAAAATAAAAATTTAATGTTTAAAAAAGCTGAAAAAAAAAGAAGAAATGCCTTTAGAAAAAGGTACTAATGATATGCTAATGAGAAAATAACATTACCTATCTGGCTTTAAATATGCTATTTGGAAATATAAAGGGGCAAATGCATAGAGAGTGCATGGATTTATAGATACTACTTGAACCATAAAATAAAACTTACGGATCTTGTGTATTACATGGGGAAGGGATCAAGTGCTTGATACATATTCCTTCCTTGATCCTCTTTAAAAGACTGACTGATTTTTTTGAAAAATTAGGCTTTATTCTAAGTTGCCTTTTTTTTAACTGGGTAATAAAATTTGATTTTTTTTCCATTAAAAAACGAACAAATGTTTTCATCCTTGAGTGAACATGTATGTACATGTTTCTTTATCCCCTTCTCCCTTCTCCCATCATAATTATTTGTCTCCTTTAACAGCAAAGGCGGCAACTCCCCAGAAAACAAGATCGAATGAGAGCTAACACTTGATCATTTATGTGTCAGAAACTATTCTTAGTATTTTACATATTGTAACTTATTTTATTCACTCGACAATCCTGAATCCTGAGAGTATTATTATTATTATTATTTTAGTTGTAGATGGACACAATACCTTTATTTT